TATATATATATATATATATATATATATATATATATATATATATATATATATATATATATATATATATATATATATATATACTATATATTATATATATATATATATATATATATATATATATATATATATATATATATATATATATATATATATATATATATATATATATATATATATATGTATATATATATATATATATATATATATATATATACATACATACATACATACATACATACATACATACATACATATATTTATATTTATATATATATACATATGACATACACATGTATATACATATATATATATATATATATATATATATATATATATATATATATATATATATATATATATATATATATATACATATATATATATATATATATATATATATATATATATATATATATATATATATATATATATATATATATATATATATATATATTTATTTATTTATATATACATATATGCATGTATGGTTTACTTTGCACAGTGTTCACAAAGAATTTTGCTGTGTGTACAGCATGCGAAACTGTTACATTTATCACAAGTACTTTGAACTTTTTTATCAAGTGATCTAACACAGAGCTTGCATCTACCTCGTTTTCTTTTTACACCAAAATTACTACCATCTTTTGCTTTATTTTCATCATTGCTACTTTTTGTGTTCTTTTGTGGCTCGTCGAACGACATTGAAAAACCTTCTTCAACATTTTGTGATGAAATATTTTTAAGTGACTCGCAAATAGAATCGTGTAACTTTAAAGACAAATTTGGAAGTATCAGTCTCGACTTGAGTTGGTTTGCTACCAGAGATTTCCCAAGTTCTTTTAAAAACAATCTTCTGCGATGTGTCTTCTGTTTATTCCATGTAGGATTTAAATGCATCCAAATTACAAAAGCATTAACAGCAGATATATCTAGGACGCTGTAAATGATTACCATAGGCCACCTGAATTATAAAAAATAGACAAATAGATAATAGACTTTATAAACTTATATAGAGTATTGCTATATTTATAGTTACCTCCGGGTCATTCTTTTTGTAGAAAAAGTAGATACCATTTGGTCAAGAGTATCTACTCCCCCTTTCGTTGAATTATAGTCCAGAATTATCTGTGGTTTTTTGTCAAAACGGTTTGATAACTCTGCATCATGATGATTGCTACTCAGCAAAATGACAGACTTTCCCTTCTTTAGAACATATGAGACTAAAGTTAATTGTTCTTGGTGACCAAACACTGAAGAGTAGACTTCTCGTGTTCGAGCAGGTAAAAGTTCTGTAGGAATTTCTTTTTTATTTTTGCGCATTGTTCCAACTAGACTTAATTTTTTCTCCAAAAATTCTCGTGCAAGTGTTACTGATGTGAAAAAGTTGTCCGTTGTAACATTTCTTCCAGATCCTTTTATGACTTCAACTAAATCATGCACTACTTGTTGCCCTTGATTTCTTTCTGGGCCCTCCCCAGGAACACGACCAGTATAAATTTGTGCATTTAAGACATAGCTGGTACTAGAATCACACAATAACCATAGCTTTAACCCATATTTAGCTGGTTTGGATTTTATATATTGTCGAAAAGAACAACGTCCACGAAATGGAACCAGCTGTTCATCAACAGTAACATTTTCATATGGTCTAAAACTATTTGAAAGCGTTTGTACCCAAAGGTCAAAAACCTCACGAATAGGTGCAAATTCGTCATTGCTGCGTCTTAATAATCGAGTCGCTTTGTCGTCGAATCTCAAAACTCTTTAAATGGTATGAAAACGCTCACGACTCATTACAGAACGAAAAATCTGCCGGCCATCACTAATGTCCCATAGCTCCTCTGTAGCTTTACCTGCTGATCGGTAAACACCTGCCAAAAATAAAAGTCCAAGAAACCCATTTAGTTCATGCTCAGATATTGGTACCCACTTTTCTTTGAAAATAGTTTCACCTTCTTTGTTTGACTTAGTTAAAACTATATTGAAGATCTTTGGGGTAAAAAATAGTTGAAAAGCAGCATTTATTGAATCTGTCATACGTATTGCATATGGCGTTAATCCTGGTTTTAATTTCATGACATTTTGTGCTGCATATTTTTTAGAATTGTTTAGTCGTTGTTTTTGCCATATTTCATTACTTTTTGGACACTTATAAACATTTGTTGTATTACTAACTTCCACATCAGTTTCTACAACTTCATTAGTTTTACCTGGACTTATTTCCTCAGCTCTATCATTATGTATATTTCCTCTTCCTAATACCTGATTTGCAAAACTTATTCTCCCTTGACTATTTGTACCATAAATGCTGCTAGTGCCTCTAACTCCGCCACGCGTTCTACATCTTCTAGCTCCTAAAACTGGTGTTAATTTATTCTCTACTTTTGAAATTGCAGGAGTATCTACTTGAAAATCAGCATCATCTGATGACTCAGTATCTTCTGAACTGTCTGTTGTTGCTTCAACAACTTTTTCTTCCTCTTCATCATCATCAGATGTTAACTCTTCTTTACTTGATGGATCTCTATCAAGCGATGCAAACAATAGTTCCTGTGCCTGTTCAGCAGTGTATCTAATACAAACTCTTTTTTTATTTTCAGCCATATGTTCTAATATTTGTTATGAAATCTAAATTTATCTAATTTATTTTAAAATGTTAAAGACAAAGATTGAGTAAGTTACAATTTAAAAAAAAAAAACTGTTTTTAAAAGCATATGCTATGAAAAACTATTAAGTTTATAAGAAAACAATACCAACGATGTTGGGGTCCAACATCGTTGGACCCCAACATCATTGATGTATATTTTGAAAATAACTAAAAAAGGAAGCAATGCCCAAAAACAATTTTTTGGGTCTTTGTACACCTTGTGATATTTAACAGATACATAAAATTTTGAAAAAAAATACTGACTACATAAATATATAATGCAAAAACAAACTACTCGTGGGGTCCGTTTGGACCCCAACGTAATAGTAGGGTTAAGTTCCTTAAGTTTTAAATATTATTTGAATATCCACTCTATTTGCTGGATGATTTTCTACTTCAATTAAAATTTGGGATTACTTATGTGGTTTGAACAAAGAATAAATTATACTAAGTTATTTTAGATTTAGATTTAGTTAGGTTGTATTTTTTATAGCTTTTTATGAAAATTATTTATTTTATTGTAGACTTAAAACTGTTTTTTTTTTTTTTGTTTCTTTTTTTTTTTTTTTTTTTTTTTGCATCACCAAGTGACCAAGTTGTCTAAGATAAAATACTTGCGTGTGGTCATACAAGACAAAAAATCTTAAGATATTTCATCATTAAAAAAAAATACTAATGAAATTAAAGTTTTCTTTACTTTTCTATTCTAAAACTTTATTTAAAAGCTTTTATGTGTAAACAAATTTTATCAGAAAGTTGACATAGCATAACAAAAAAAAACTTTGTTATGTTTTCGACTATTAAATTTACAAATTCATCAATCAATCAATCAATCAATCAATTATATATTCTGGAAAAAAGATCTAACTTTCACGGTCGTTACAAATAGTTATAAAAACTAATATAAAGTAAAAACCTCTTTGATGAATATAAAACATACTATAGACACATAGTTATAGTTATAATAAAAATAGCAATAAATTTACAAAACAACAATAATAAAAATAATTAAATGTATAATAGCAAGAATAACAATAATAATATTACCAGTAAGTATAATTAACACCCAATAATAATGAATAAAATAAAAACATGATAGTAATAAATACAATACATATATAACGGAATTGTCAAATAAATATTTAATAGAAGGCTGTTCATTAAATACTTCAACAAAAATTATAAAAACTAAAAGAATTAAATCAATACAACCTTTCATACAACAATCAATTATATATTCATAGTTACAGTTACAAACAGTAATAAACTGACAAAACGTAACTAATAACGATGACATAAAAACGATTATCGATAAAAGACTACAAAGACTCGATAAATATAATAATTTTAGTTTTTATAATATAATAGCAAAAATATATCGTAAGTATAATAAACAAATAAAGAAAACATCAAAAAGCTTATTAAAAAAATCGGTTTCGTTATTTTTTATAAAATTAATTGTACAAACTGTTTTACGATAAGTAAAAGATATTATATTGTTAAAAAGTAAAAGATATTATATTGTTAAAAAGTATCTTTCCATAATTTAAATAAATGTTTTTTGTAATATACAATCTTTGCAAGCAATTTCTGGTTTTATTACCTTATACTTTCTTTAGCGCATTTTTTAAATGTTTTCAAAAAAAGCTGTGGTTAAGTTGTCACAAAAAAATAATAAATACATGATCAGGAATATAGTGCAATTGCACACTTTTCCTGTTCATGACCGGGCGTGTGGGAAATTAGATAAGCAAACCTCAAGTAATCATTCTTAAACAAATAACATAAAAACACGCTATCAAAATACCTATGGAATACAAAGGATAAGTTAAAAACAGCACACAATGTAACATGGTCCATCATAAGAAGCGCACTCACCTAACACAATAAAAAATATATGAAAAACTAATAATGTATAAAAATCCCAAAGAATTATTAAACAAAAAAAGCAAAGTGTTGCCATGTGCCAAGTTTTGCTTGCATAAACTAAAACATTAGATTTTTCCAAGGCATTTTTTCTATTACAGAATTATTTTCTAACGAGAAATATTCCGATTTTTTACCCGATGATTGCATTTAGCATGAAACTTATAGTTGTAAAAATTATGTAGTTTTATTTATTATATGTATGTATGTATATACATACATATAATAAATAAAAATTGTTATATGTATGTATATAATAAATTTATATATATATATATATATATATATATATATATATATATATATATATATATATATATATATATATATATATATATATATATATATATATATATATATATATATATATATATATATATATATTTATATAATAAATATTATATATGAACATAATTTATTTTAAAGCTTGGATATATGCACAATCTTCAGCTTGAATACCAAAGATGAGTCACTTTTTGATGTTTCGTTCAAGCAAAGTACTATAAAGTACTGTTATTATCCTAATACAGGAAGAAAAGAATGTAAAGACTTTGACTTAAAAAGTCAAAAGTGGATGTACTTTTTGATTGAACAATGGGAGGAAAATAATAAGTATTACAACTCTTTCCAAATATGGTCTGAAATTCATGATGTTACAAAGAATGCAAAATGGAGTTATAAGACACTAGTTACTCAACCACAGTTCAACGATATACATTTTAAGCCTATCGATAATGTTGATGTTGAAATTAGAAAACTTATAATCTTTAATCCAGGTATTATTTTTTCAGTGTTTAATTATGTACCTTGTTTTAATTTATGTTTAAATAAACTACTGTGTTTAAAGGGACTACCATGTCCCGAGACATGTTGTGTTCATATTAAAGAGAATGTTAAAAAAAAAACGCCTGAGCAAATTTTTTTTGATTAAAACTAATTAATAAATATATAACAAGAAAACAAGTCTTGTTGTTTTAGTCGAAGCTCGTCCTCTCCGTTTTCTTTGGTATTTTGAGTATGTAAAATAAACGCGATTTTCCTGGCGCATTATACAGACTTGATAATTTATTCAAGCGCGTTTAATTCATAGGAGTTTTAGAGCATGACGTCATTGGAAACATTCTAGAAATTCTTTAAAAATTTTACTAATTAATTTTACTCAAACAGCTAACTATAGTTACTTCTTTTATTAAAAATTTATTTTATTAATTGTTCGTTAGCTTTTTACAAATCTAACGAACAATTAATTAAACCAAGCACTAAGAAAAGATATAAAAATGAAGAATATACTAATAAAATATATATAATTTGTAATTAACTTTCAAAATTTTGACAATTTAAAAAATATATATAATAAAACACTTATTTTTGTAATTGTAATTTTGTATCGTTAGATAAAAGTTTAAAAGTTTTACGGCTTTACAGATGTGGCTCCGAGAATGAGCCATAATATTAATGTAACAGTTCATTTGATAATATATTCTTTAAAAATTTATGCTAGATATCTTAAAACGCAACAAATCGTAAATAATACAGTTACTAAAACACTTCAACAGAATACTCTAGAACTTTATTTTGCTTAGTCAGCGTGTTTTTTGAACCAATAGAATTAGTTTGTTTGCAAATTTGGCGGTTTTTTAGTGTTCGCGAATATTCTTTTTATTCTTCCGCAAGCTGTTTTAAAAACATTCAAGTTAAATATGTTTCCATGTATGTGTGTGTAAAAAAAATTAATATATATTAATTTTTTAATTTTTAAACCCCCGCCATAATATATATTATATGTTATAATGGAAATATAAATAATAAAATAAGATCACCTCAATACCAAAAAATACATTTCTAAAATTCAGAAAAAAAATGCGTTAATATTTTTTTTTTTTTAATATTTATAAAGTAAATTAATAAAAGTGCTTTATTATTTAGGTTAAAAATTATTTTATCTAATATTTTGAAAGAAAAACTTATAACAAAAGAAATCAAAATACACGTGGTCTAGACGATTATTTAAAAAAAATTAAAAAAAAATAAATAAAATACTGGTTTTTGTTTTTTATTTTATGTTTGTTTTTAATTTTATTTTGTTTTCAATTCTATTTTGTTTTTAATTTTATTTTGTTTTTAATTTTGTTTTACAAACACATTTTAGAACTTTAAAATATAATAAAAATGAATATGATTTGGAAATTGTATGTAAAAAATAACAATCGTTGTTTTAAACAAACAAAAAAAAATCTATGACGTCATGCACTAAAACTCCTATGAATTAAACGCGCTTGAATAAATTATTAAGTCCGAAAAATGCACCTGGAAAACCGCGTTTATTTTACATACTCAAAATACCAGAGAAAACGGAGAAGATGAGCTTCGACTAAAAAAACAAGATTTGTTCTTCTTGGTATACATTTATTAATTAGTTTTTATTAAAAAAATTTGCTCAAACGTTTTTTTTTTTAACATTCTCTTTAATATGAACACAACATGTCTCGGGACTTGGTAGTCCCGAGACATGTTGTGTTCATTTTAAAGGGATCCCTAACTGCCAAGACAAGTTGTGTTCATATTAAAGAATATGTTTAAAAAAAACCTTTGGGCTTTTTTTTTTTGATTGAACCTAAATAATAAATACATACCAACAGAATTAAAATTATCGTTTTAGTCAAAGCTCGCCGTCTCTATTTTATTTTGGTTCTCGGAGTCTGTATAATGTTTGCCGCAATCTGCAGACTTGATAACTTATTCAATGCGTGTTTAATTCATAATAGTTTTGGTAAATGACGTCATCCTAATATCTTTTTAATATAGCGTTTTATTGCTGTTGTTTTTTTTAAAGATATTTTTTCTACTACTTTTACAGTATTTTTTCTACTACAATTAGAAAATCAAATATTTTTATATTTTTTTACTAAATCACAAAAAAAAGAAT